TCGCTTCGCTTTGGCTTGCGTATCTGCTTATTATTATTATTATTATTAACAAGGGGATCTTGTTCTTCTTCTTGTGGGCGAGCGTTGGTTAGATCCCCTCTCCGTATACTTTCTGGGTCCGATGTTGACGTCCTTCCTCGCCCACCTTCTCGTCCTACACCACTAATCCGACTTATAATATATACTCCCTCCGTCCGAAAATACTTATCGGAGCAATGGATGTATCTAGACGTATTTTAGTTTTAGATACATTCATTTTTATGCATTTTTCCGACAAGTATTTCCGGACGGAGGGAGTACTTAGTAAACAATTCTCCGCCGCCTCGCCGGAATGGTCCCCTCCGTCCCTCACCAAAGGGAGAGAAGAAAAACAGAGCAACCGCAACAGGTTTCAGGGGCGTGGCTGGATGCGGATGCAGATGCAGAGCACTAGTACTAGTGTAAAAAACAGAGTAGTAGTCCCATTGTTTACTTTATCCATGACCCAGTCGCCTTGCCGCGGACGTCGAAGAGGAGTTCGCCTGAGCATGCCGCTGGCAAACAACCTGCCGCCGAGGAGGGAAACAAGGGTGCGCCTGAGCAGGGGCGGAGCTTGTAGGGGCCAAACTGGGCCATGGCCCGCCCAGGAATTTCAGATGTAGCACTGCTCTCTACCCTCAGCGCACACGATGTTGACCTTCTTCCTCCACCTTCTCATCATATCATATGCTACTTCTCCTGGATGTAGTACAAATAATACGATATACGGAGTATTATACTCCGCCGCATCGCGCCGCCGAAAATGGTCCCCTCCCTCACCAAAAGGGAGAAGAAAAACAGAGTAAATGGAACAGGTTTCAGACAGGGTGTGGTTGGATGCAGAGTGCCGTAGTATTGTAAAAACAGAGTACTGGTAGTCCCAATTGTTTGCCTGAAACCAAGCCTATGCATGACCATTGGTATGCCGTTTGAATGTTCCCTTTTTGCCCAATAGAAAATGTGTCTTTCAGTAAAGAATCAAGTGCAGTTGGGAAAGTTGCGAATTGGCACTGAAACCGTCTTTTTCCACTCTTGTTTTCTGTGTAACTCTTGGGTGGATTATGACATGATAATTCATTGATTCCTGTTGGGCAGAAATGGAGGCCAGTTCTAGCACTGCTCTCTACCCTCAGCGCCGCTGCAAAAACATATACCTGGTACTACCACCTCAGCTATCAGTCATCAAACATATAGGAAAGATGCCAGTAATGTTTTGTCTGATTAACAGCTGTAAACCAACGCGCTGCAGGTGAGGCATGCTCAGGGTATCCATAATGTGGAAGGCGAGAAGGATCATAGCGCCTACAAGTCGCCTGCGCTAGTTGATGCTCATATCACCCCTTTGGGCTGGAGCCAAGTAAGGTTTCTTGTTTCCCTTTTCCTTTCTGGCCCTGACAAATAATGTCGTTATCACTCAAGGTTTTTTCCATGTGGCATTTTCAAGTTCCATGGATGCTGATTTACATGCGTTTGTAGGTTGATTGCCTGCGAGACCATGTGAGGGAATGTGGACTAGCGAAAAAGATTGAGTTGGTTGTTGTTTCCCCTCTAATGAGGTATAGTTCTCCTTGGCCTTATAACCCTCCTGTACATATTTTTATGTTCTTCTTCTAACATTTTTATGTTCACTTGAATCAATCTCACAGGACTATGCAAACTGCAGTGGGGGTCTTCGGTGGTGACAACTGTACTGATGGAGCAAGTACATCACCATTACTAATGGTACAAGGCGCTGGACACAGTGGGCGTCAGGCGATTTCAAGTTTGGACTGCCCGCCGTTTCTCGCAGTTGAGGCCTGCAGGGAGCGCCTGGTAATTCCCTCTCCTGAAGAACACAAATAAAACAGAGCAGTCATTTTGTTGCCAAATAATCTTCATTTAGTGCCTCGTTTGATTTTTAATTTTAATTTTAAATGCAGGGTGTTCATCCCTGTGACAAGAGGAGCAGCATAACAAAATACCGTACTCTCTTTCCTGCCATTGATTTTTCGCTGGCAAGTACCTACTGTTGCTAATTCACGAGTTCAGTTTCAGAGACGGTGTCTCAGATAGTTTTTTAATTATGTGTGCTCACGCTTTTTACAGATCGAGAATGATGAAGATGTTCTTTGGGAACCCGATGTCAGAGAAGCGATTGACGTTGTTGCTGCCAGGGGCATGAAGTTCCTTGACTGGTAATTTTCCATTCTAAGATTGGTCAGTTTCTTTTCATTAATTTCTTTAAAATACAAGCCTAATGATCTGTTACCAGTGAGTTATCACTGAGTGACTATTTGACATTAGAAAATCCTAGATGCTGGAGATTTATGCGTAGCATGTATTGAGAAAGACAAACCTCAGATTTTAGATGACATGTTGAGTCAACCAGTGACTTCATTTTGGCGGCCGGACTAAATTAAAACTAATCTCTTGATCTGCTTGCAGGTTATGGACAAGAGAAGAAAATGAGATAGCTATTGTCACCCACAGTAGTTTCTTGGATTTCACTTTAAACATGTACAGTAAAGAGTGTCATCCAACCATAGCAGAGGATATGCGCAAACGGTAAGTGTTTTTTTTTCCTTGGTAACTGTCAACCAATCAACCCACAACATTCCGCAAGGGCCGAAAAATGTTGCTAACTCTGGCTTGGTTACATACAGATTTGCAAACTGTGAGCTCCGGTCGATGGTGTTGGTCGACAGAAGGTCAGTTCTTGTTTTGCTTCAATGATTATGTTGCATTTGTGATGTCCTTTTTAAATAATGTGGATTGGCTTTGCAATGTTGCAGTAAGCTTGGATCGGATACCCCTACATGCGATTTCCCTGGGAAGATACCGGCCGGACTTGATCTGCCTAGTGATGTCGCGGACAAGAAGCACACTGAAGAAGCTAGCAGTGGGAACCGGGGAGCGGCTGGCTGTCTAGAGCACACGCACATGAGCTCGCCCACTCGCCTCATTTCTACCTAACAACGTAGAGTCGAGGGAGGGAACTTCCCCCCTTTTAATCACATTTCTCTTGAAGAATCTAGCAAGAACCGAGACTCTTGACCTCACAATGGTCGAGTTTCAGTTGCATGATTGATGTTGAAGCAAAGATAAGAGGCACCTACGGATAGGATTTATCATCTGTCGCTCTGGAGTATGATTAGAACAGTTCATTATGTTCGTTATTTGGTTTATTGTCGGAACACATACCCAAATTCATGGGAGTAAGGATGATTTATACATGTAGCCATCTTGTTAATCTATGACATCATGTCAGATATACTTTCCGGCTGTTGTTCCTTTTCACATTTTTCTATGCGGCTTAGAGCCTCTTTGGATCGAAGGAATTTATAGGAATTTTCGCGATTCAAATCCATAGATTTTTTTCCCCCTATGCAAGTCATTTGGATCATAGCATCGGGGCCTCCAGATTCTTCCGGAATACATTCATATGCCCTTTGATTCGATGATGCCATATACTACCTCCGTCCCAAAATAGGTCCCAAAATATAAGATGTTTTCGTGGTTTAGATAATACTCGTACTTCTTAACAAACGGGGCTACATTTTCCCATGCTGCCAAATATTCTGTGATTGGTCCGTTTGAAATTGGATCACACAGATTGGTTGACTGTGATTGGATTCTCTCGTGTGGCTATGTGCAGGCAGGCCACTGGAATGCCTTTGATGTGGAGGGATATCCACTGAAAAGAATCTATAGAAATGTGGTGGGAGGGAGGAGGGATATGGAGCACGGAATATGTGGGGATATTCGGCAAGGATGCCGTTGCAGGCCAGTCGTCCTCAGCAGCCTCGGCCTGCGAGCGTTTACTACACTGCCCAACCCATTGTAACCACCGGTCACCAGACACCAGTAAAATAAAAAAAAAGTAGTAAAACAATTCAATTTTTTTTTGAAATGTTTTTGGTGGGAACCTGGACAAATGTTTTCAATGCCTGCAAATTTTCATCCCGAAATAACATTTTTGAAAGCCGTGGTAAAAAAAACAAAATCTGACACTCCAAAAAAGGCTGTTCTTGAAATCATTTTGGAGTTATGTTTTTATTTATTTTGCCGTGACTTCAAGGAATGTTATCTCAGGATGATGAAAGTTTGCAAGCACCGAGAACATTTATCAAAGTTTGTGCCAAAACATATTCAGATTTTTTTTGTTGTAGTTTTTTTCAAAAAAAGAAGAAGATTATTTTACTGTTCATCGCTGAGCTCAAATGAGGTTGTGAGTAGAAAGGGACTTTCGGTACTTCTATCCCTATTTGATGAAAAAAAAATCTGTGGCTGCAGCCACTCCGCCGGCCACCGTGAACCCCGATGCCCCGTCCGGCCCCTCGGCAGCTTCCTCCGCGGCCTTCCCGACCCCTCCGAGCCCGCAGCGTGGCCGCCCGTCCCGCCGAAGCCCGGCCGCGGCCGCCCATCCCTGTCGCGCTTGCGTCTCGCCGTCCTTAACTTCCCCGCCACCGGATCGTCATTTTTCACGCCGTCTCCAAATTTTAGAGCGCTAGTTTTACAATCATCTGTTAATTAAAGCAAGAAAAAAAAGGTCAGACGGGACGGGTGTCCGAAAATCCTCTCTCTTGTCCTGTGCTGATTATTTTTAGGCCGCCAAATTTTGCACCAGCCGTTGGAGTTGCCCTTGCTGGCGCCGCACGGACGGTCGGTAATTGAAGGAAGGAACGAAACAAGCGGCGGTAGAAGGGGGGGCGGACGCGAACATTCCTTGAAGTCACGGAATTTGTCGGCAGGAAGAAGGAAAGAAAGAAAGAAAGTTGGAAGGAAGAAGGGGGGGCAGGAAGAAGGAAAGAAAGAAAGGAGAAAGCGATGGGAGCGGTGGAGGAGGGGAAAGAAAGTTGGAACCGCCGCAAGCCGATGGCCAAAACTGTCTGCTGTTGCCTTCCACGGACGCGACCCGTCGAGGAGGGGACATGACGCGATTTGCAGCTGACTCATTAGCGAATTGAATTGAATAAATTAAAAGCGAGCCGACACGAGCCACGATGCTGCCGAATCCTCCTTTTAGTACCACCACCGGCGCGGCCCTCCGCCTCTGCCTCCCTATCCCGCCTCGGGCCGCTGCCTCTGCCTCATCGTCCTCCTCGCGCTCGCACTCCTTCGCCGCTGCCGGACGGGTTTCCCTCCGCCGTCGCCGCCGCCGCGCTTCCTTCACCGACTGCCGCTGCTCCTCCTCCTCCTCCCCAGGTACGCCCGCGCTCCAACCTCCCCCTCCTTCTTCTCCATCCCCCGTGAATTAATCGAACCCAGCGGCGCGCGCTCTCTCTCTTCCCCACTCCCTCACCGGAAAGTAAAATCGACTGCCCTCTTCCTCCTGGATTGAGTGATTAATCGCAGAGGCCGGTTGCCGCCCCGCCGTGCTATGCAATCTCAATGCTCCCCCGCCCAGCCGCCCGCCCGTCTTCTTCCCAGCGCTTCCGCTTCTCCTCCGCCGCTCCGCGGCAGCGCCAGATCTGCCTCCGCCGCGCAGATGCTCCCGAATATGCGCTTATTTATGCTCCTCCCCCTCAACACTTTCTCCATTAGCGAGTATTTATTTACGAGTAGCTATTTATTATTTAAGCAGGTTTCGTTGGCAACCGTTAGTCAGATCTCCTCCCCTTACGTGTCGATGCTTAACACTAGTTGCCGACGTCCCCACCGCACCGCCTTCCCATCATATACTAATCCGATGCTATGCAACATGGATTAAACATCCGCCGCATTGCACCGCCGAAATGGTCTCCTTCGTCACACAAGAAGAAGAAAACAAAGCAGAGTAGTTGGAGCAGCTTTAATGTTATTTTCTTTTCGCAGAGGAGGCTTGTGCTTGCAAGTTTATTACTTCCTCCGCACCATAATATAAGAGCGCTTTTGACACTAGTCCCACATTAAATTGCTACACCAATATGCTTTCGGTCTAGGCAAATCAGTGCATTCATTATTTTTGTCCGTCCGATGGGAATCACCGCGTTTAGCTCATATAGGCACTGCCAGTATGGCGCACATGCTCTCTGACCAATGGAGGATCAACGCCTTTTACTACCATGTGATGTGATTCTTTGGGCACGCACCAATACATCAACATTCCCACCATGTGAAAAAATGTTCCGTTTCGACGAATCAACATATGTGCCATTCTGTAAAGCACAAGGTGCAGCCGGGAAGTTGCGATTTTAGCCTAACTGCATGTGGCTGCTGCAACTGTCTGTTCACGTTGTGTTCATCTGTCTAGCTCGTCAGTGGATAGTAATAACATACATCAGTAATTTGTTTCTTTTGGGCAGAAATGGAGGCCGGCGCTGGCACGGCTCTGTACCCCGCGCACCGATGCAAAACCATATACCTGGTAGGTTGGTACCACACATCATCAACTGTCGGTGACAGACCTGTAAGACAAATGCGAAAAAAAAAACTCAACATGATTCGCTGTAACCAATGTGCGCAGGTGAGGCATGCCCAGGGTATTCACAATGTGGAAGGCGAGAAGGATTTTGCAGCATACAAGTCACATGCGCTGCTTGATGCTCAACTTACCCCTTTGGGCTGGAGCCAAGTAAGATTACTCGTTTCCTTTTCATTATCCCCATGCATTTCAATTTCAAACACTGCTCTTAGCATTGTCAGTTCTATGGCCAACTAAGGTGATGCTTTTTGTCAAATATTTAAGGCGAAAATGTGTCTGTGATGTTGACATGAGTGCCCTCTCCAAGCACTAATGAAGCACTAATGCTCTCTCTAAGCACGTTAGGAAAGCCCTTTTTCCATTCATTTTGCCCTTTCAGTGCCACAGGGTTGGATGGTAGCCTCTATTCCACTGTAATGTGTTCGTGCTCATGGTATCAAGACACTCATGGTACAATATTATCAAAGTCAAACATTAAGATTTTTTATATAGAAAATGTGTAGATGTGGGCATCATGTCATGATGCTTAGTTACAGAAGTTTCTGTAATTCAAGCGTTGGATACTCAATTCATTCACCTCACATACTAACAGATGCTCATTGATGATGTTTAACCTTTATTTGGATGATGATGACATCTTCTGTCAAATGCATTTGTAGCAGTTAGCAGTATTACGGCAATGCTCAGTACTTTTGTCTATGGCTATTCTGTCAAGCTGTCATGGCTGAAATCCTGGAGAATATGTTTTCCTTACTAAAGGAATCTTCACATCGTAGCAGCCATTTTATATGAAAAAAATCTTAGGTTTTAGTAGTTCACATGGTTCTTACTGCCGCCCTAAAAAATTGAACTCCCCTTTGTTAGCATCAACGTCTCACTTAATATATCAACCCTAACCCTATTTGTATCAGAACACAATGACACCACCTTGTTTTGGATGACATTGAGATGCCTTTAGTTGATTCCTTTATGGTTGTATAAGCCAAAATTTTGCCATGTTCATTTCAAAGTCTTTTTTACTGCAGTTGTGTAATTAGTTGAGTTCCTTTCTGGCCTTGACACATAATGTTGATCGAAATATCACTCAGCTTTTTATCATGTTGCATTTTCAAGTTCCATGGATATTGACTTACATTCATTTGTAGGTTGATACCCTGCGAGATCATGTGACAAAATGTGGACTAGCAAAAAAGATTGAGTTGGTTATTGTTTCCCCTCTACTCAGGTATAGTTTTCCTTGACCTTGATCTTTTTGTACGTAATTTCAGTGTTCTGGATCTTCTCCTAAGTTTCGTATGTTCAGAGTTGGCATTGCATTAATTTTCTTTCGAGAAAATACAATGTTAGGCTTTCAGCTTCTAGTATAAATTGTAGCACTGCTTAAACCTGGACTATGTTGATCTTCTAACCATATTTTCCTGGACCGAGCGTGTTAATTGTCGTTAGAAGAAGAAAAAAACATGTTCTTTGAAAGGCCTGTGAATTATGTCAGTTAAGCATCTCCATGTATCAGCTATTGCTTGGGCCACGAGTCTTTCAGTTTTACCTTGGAATTATAGTTTCATTATGCACATTCAGTTATAGGTAGTGCATACCAAAGCACTCCACTAGGCAGGCTTTGTTGGGGTTAGAGTCAGAACTGTTCAGCAGTGGTTTCATGGTTAGTAAAATTATGAGGTTTAATGTACATCCTTGCACAGAATCTTGTCTTTTGCAATTGTCAAACAGAGTTTAGATTGGTTTTGTTGTACATGGACGAATATTCCTGTTGTCTGCAGTTCTTGGTACATGTCTTACATGGTGCAAAAATCTAGTACAAACAAAATTCAGCTTGATCCATCTTTTACACCCTTAGTCACTCCCTCATGACAATAGCTACTCAATCTGTTTATCTATTATGTAGTACATTTTTATCAGAACTCCTGTGCTAAGGCATGGTGTACATACAGTGCATTGCCGTAGCATGTAACTACTAATACTAAATGAGTCTCACAGTATTTCATTTGAACTAATCTCACAGGACTATACAAACTGCAGTGGGGGTCTTTGGTGGTGGGAACTATATTGATGGAGCAAGTGCATCACCATTGATGGTAGAGGGTGCTGGAAACAGTGAACGTCAGCCGATTTCAAGTTTGAACTGCCCACCGTTTCTCGCAGTTGAGGCTTGCAGAGAGCACCTGGTATTTTCCTATCATTTGTTGCAAAAAATATCATCATTTACTGCCTCATTTACTTGGTTTGTACTCCTTCGTCCCATAATGTACATAGCTTGCAAAAACGTCTTACATTATTGGACGGAGGGAGTACTAAATATTGACTAGAATAACTTGTTTATCTTTGTACTTTTAAGTCAAATATATCCTCATTTAAGAATTTGCATGCCTCTGTTTGTCTCTGCTTCTTTCGTAACAGTAATGCTCTGACAAATATTCTTAATATTTCTTTTGTATTTGATTATAAAATGCAGGGTGTTCATCCCTGTGACAAGAGGAGCAGCATAACAAAATACCGTACTCTCTTTCCTGCCATTGATTTTTCCTTGGCAAGTACCTACTGTTGCTAATTCAGAAGAACATTTCATGACAGCATCTCAATGGTGTTTTTAATATACGTGTGCTCACGCTCTTTACAGATCGAGAATGATGAAGATGTTCTCTGGGAACCCGATGTCAGAGAAACAAATGAGTCTGTTGCTCTCAGGGGCATGAAGTTCTTTGACTGGTAATTTTCCTTTCTAAGATTGATTAGTTTCTTTTCATTAATGTCTTGAAAATATAAGCCTGATGCTCTGATTTTATGAATATGAAACGCAAGTACCTCGATATTTTTTCTTTTTTCTTGAGGGAGTACCTCGATAACATTCATCTGCATGCCCTATATCACTTTTGGTTATTTTTTGCGTCATTCAAAATAATTTGTCCACCCAAACAAGAAATTTATTCACCACTCTCCTGACCTGACAGGAGTCCCATACTCCTAGTGAATTATATTATTTGCCTCACTTCCATCTATGGACTGGAAGGCAGAAGCTGACTATATATGTTACTTTATCTGCGTCAACACTTGTTGCATGATTTAGAGACAAAATGGAACTGGTGGTGAAGCATTGTGCACTGCATTGGATAATTACCTCTGTCCCACGCAATCCTTCGTCTGATTGCTTGTTTCTCATATACCAGTGAGTTATCACTGAGTGACTTATTTGAAATTATAAAGCTCCAGATGCTGGAGATTTTTGTGTAGCATGTATTTAGAAAGACAAACCTTAGATTGGATGACCCGTTGAGTCGGCCACTAACTTTATCTTTGGTTGCTGGATTATATTAGACTGATCCTTGAATGTGCTCACAGGTTATGGACGAGAGAAGAGAAAGAGATAGCTATTGTCAGCCATAGTGGTTTCTTGTATCACACCTTGAACATGTATGGTAAAGAGTGTCATCCAACAATAGCAGAGGAACTGGGAAAGCAGTAAGTTTTTTCCCCTTGGTAATTGTCAACTAATCGACCCACCATACCCTGTAAACTTGTGATGCAGTGAGAGCACAATGTTTGCAATATGTAACCGTTGGAACTTGAAGCCATTGTCAAGTATAAGAAAATTGGACTAGTTTTTGTATCAGTATCAGTAGAGGGGAAAATGTTTTGTATTCTTCACCGTGGGATAACATGACCTGATAGAGTTACTCTCAATAGAACTCTTTGTGTTGCACTCTCACTGCAATGATTCTTGTGCGAGCACTAAAATGTTTAAACCATGGTTGATGCCATCATCACAAGAGCATGTTGCTAACTTCTGACTTGGTTATATACAGCTTCGCCAACTGTGAGCTCCGGTCGATGGTCTTGGTCGACAGAAGGTCAGTTCTTGGTTTGCCTCAGCGGTTACGTTGCAGTTGGCGCTTTGCTTTTTTATAACGTGGGTTTGCTTTGCAACGCTCGCTTCAGTAACCTTGGATCGGATGCCTCTAAATACAACTTCGCTGGGAAGATACCGACCGGGCTTGATATGCCCAGCGATGTCGCAGACGAGAAGCAGGCTGAAGAAGCTAGCAAGAACTGAGGCTGTCGAGCATGTGGATGTCTTTGATTCTTTTGTCAAACCTTGGTTCTGGCTGACAATGAACTGAGAATAGATACTAAGCGACATCTAAGGATAGGACTTGCCGTCTGTTGTTCCGGTGTATGATGGGCACGATTGGTTATGTTTATCTGATTTGTTGTTTGAACAGATACCCAAATTCATGGGAAATAAGGACTTATACGCATACCCCTCTTTTTGAGAACGAGGACGATACGTTGAACCCTAAATAGCATTTCAATAACAGGTAAAATAACCGGAAATTGCTTTTGGAGGCCGAGCTCCATGGAGGCCTCCAAATGCAATATTTAGATTGTAAGCATTTTATAATCAAATTTTATATAGAACACGTTAAAATTGAAGTTAGGGTATAAACGGATAATTTTTTAAAGCATTTGGTATAGATTGTGGGTTGATTAACCCAAATATTATGTTTTTTTTCAAATAGCAAAACATTTTTCTAGACTCGCTTAAAACTGGATCACGCGTTAATTTCGAGAAACAGCAGGAGATTTTCTGCAAAAGGTGAAACGTTGAACTTAAACCTGGATTACATGTTGATTTCAAAAAAGAGCAGAGGACTTTCTGCAAAAATAAAGTGACGGACTTTCTCCCTTTATTAGTAGGTGTACCACACACACAGGTTACCACGTCTATAAATATGTAAAGAAAAAAATGATCTTTGCATATAATTTCAGCATGAATTTCAAAATTGCATTCAAGAGTAGTGCTCATATTTTTAATTCATATACGATTTTTTAAAAATCTTGGCTGGACCTCCAAGAAAGATACGGAACACGTAGCCCCTCTACTTGTTGGGACAAGAAAAACAGATAGCTTTCCTTTTTTTTTCTCATCACATTAAGAAACAGGTCACTCCTGAATAAACTAGGAGCCTAGGATAGCTAAATTCACTCCTCCTAATATTTGGATGGATTCTGTACGTAAGGCTCGTAAGGCCGTGATTTCATTGACTGTAACGATTCTACGATCGATCCTAATGAATGAATAAATAAAGGTGTTGATTGTAAATAACGATTCTACTATCGATCCTAATGAATGAATAAATAATCTATGCCCCGGTTGTGCAGGAGATTAAGCACTTGTTGTCCCTTAGAAAAACTTGTATTACTCACGTTTCACGTTCTCAAAATAAAGCTAGTGATAGTTTAGCAGTGTTTGCTAGAATTCATGGCAGGACTATGACCTGGCTAGGGTCTGGTTTGGAGGAGACTCTGGTGATAGTTGCTGACGATTGTAAGGACTCCTTGATTGAGTAATACAAGTTTCTCCTTCGCAAAAAATAAAAAAATAAAAAAAAATAAAAAATAAAGGTGTTGATTGTAAAGAAAACAAAGAAGAAGATCCAATGTGGGAATATGGTTCGGTCGGCCTGCTCCAACCCGATCGACATAAGAGCATCTACAACCGGTAACCTCGGTTTTGTCTCCTAAATATTTGCGAACGTGCAGGGTCCGTGTGCGGGCATGTTCATTTTTAGTCTTTGTTTATCCGTCGGACGCAGCGATGTTCCTATTTTATTTTATTTTCTTTATATATGCCCAGTCACATAAATGCGGTTAATTGAGACAGGGAGAAAGAGAAAAAGAAAATAAAGAAAGAGAAAAGATGATCCAGTCAGTGTACGCCAAATCCTACGTGGGGCACCGACCGAACACATCCGCAACCCCTCATAATGCCCTCGTATATGAGATGAGCATGGGAAATGACACACGGCTCCCATGTTTAAAGAGGCATTTTCAAGGGTTAAAAGGCATTTTCTTTTAGGATTTTTTTATTCAACAAATAACTTAGAGGGTTTCCTCAAAAAAAAAACTTAGAGGGTGTGCACACATGGTCGCTCCACACATGAGAGCTGCTATACGGATGGCATATTTGGGAGAGAATGATCTGTGGACGACGCTACACATAAAGCCATTGATGCGTTAGAGCAAAAGCAAACAACCCCGTTCATTCCTGCATCGTGTGGGGTTCGGCCGGCTAGTGTCGTCCGTCCAGCAGTTTCGTTTATACATTGCCAAAAGGCACGAGCGACATCTACTTCATCCGTTTCAAAAATAGATGACTTAACTTTGTACTAACTTTAGCATAAAATTAGTACAAAGTTGGGTCATCTATTTTGAAACGAAGGGAGTACTTGGAAGAGACACATGTGAACCGACACGTCCATTGCCTAAAGGCAACCGTCCGTGGTTCCACACAAGCAGGGATTAACTACATATATAATTAACACATGCTAATTAATTCTAACAAGACGAACTACCACATGTTCATTCAACAAATAACATGGTCGCTCCATAAAAAGACGAACATAAAGACAATTGGCATCTGATAGGAGAGAGAGAGAAACCCAATCAGATGCCTCTTTTAACCGTAAAATATCCAAGCGGAGGAGAGACGATGGCGATGGCGATGGCGATGAGTGGTCCGGCCATTCTATTTGAGCAAAAATCAAGCAGCCGAAGAGGACACGGCTGACGGCTTCCTCCACCACCGCCGCCGCCGCCGCCGCCGCCGCCGCACTTGGTTTGGCTCCTCCTCCTCAGGTACGGCCGCACCTTCCCCTGCCCTGTTTTCTCGCGGAGGGTTGGCTGTTCCCCCCTCCTCTTGTTTGGCAGTATTAGAGAAAGGGAATGGGATTAGGCATGGGAGGGTGGTCGATTTTTAGTCCTGAACCCATGCTTGGTGCGCGGTTATTTGAGAGTTACTAGTGGGAATTTGAGAGCAAGCTTATCATCCCACCTCAACTAACAGGGGGGAGACCGGGTAAGAGATGCCTGGGAATAAAACTGTATGTGACTGCACCTGTCTGATTACATTGTCTTTATTACCCGTCTAGTTCGTCGATGGATGATTATATGATTATCCGTTCATGTTGGGCAGAACAGAAATGGAGGCCAGCGCCGTCGCAGCTCTGTATCCCGCGCACCGATGCAAAACCTTATACCTGGTACCACACTTCGAGCTGCTCTTTGAGTCCACCTTTTACCCAAGGATGTAGCATCAATTACCGGTGACAAATGTTTGCAGTGTGAAGAATGTTCAATCTGTTTCCGTGTGACCAATGTGCGCAGGTGAGGCATGCGCAGGGTTTCCACAACGCGGCAGAAGAGTCGGATGTTATAGACCACACTTCACCTGCGCTGCTTGATGCCCAACTTACCCCTTTGGGCTGGAGCCAAGTGAGATTTCTCTTGTTTTGCTTTACATTATCCCCATGTATCTCAACCACTGCTCTTAGCATTATCAGTTCTATGGCTGACTAAGGTGGTGCTTCGAGTCAGATATTTAAGGCGAAACTGCGTCTGCGATGTTGGCACCAGCACTAGAAATGGAAGCACCAATGCTCTCTAAGCACATTAGAAAAGCCCTTCTCCGTTCATTTCGCCTTTGTGTTTCACCGCCACGGGATTGGATGGTAGCCTGTATTTCACTGTCATGTGTTGTGCTCATGATATCAGGCCATCCATGGTACAAATATTATCAAACAGTAAGATTGTTTATGTCGAAATGTGTAAATGTGGCATCATGTCATGATGCTTTAGCGGTAGAAGTTCATTTCTGTAGTTCAAGTGTTGGATGCTCGATTCATTCACCTCACATAGTAACAGATCCTCATTGATGATGTTCAACCTTTATTTGGATGATGGCGTCTTCTGGCGAATGCATTTGTGGCAGTTAGCAGTATTATGGCAATGTCCAATAATTTTTTTCTATGGTTATTCTGTCAAGCTTCCATGGCTGAAATCCTAGAGAATACTTTTTCGTTACTAATGAGATCCTCAAGCGTAGCAGCCGTTTCATATGCAAAACCTTAGGTTGTTAGTAGTTCACATGGTTCTTATTGCCGCCTTAAAAAAATTAAGTCCTCTGTGTTAGCATCAACCTCTGACTAGAGATATCAACCCTAACCCCAGTTGTATCAAAACACAATGACACCGCCTTGTTTTGGATGACATTGCAATGCCTTTAGTTGATTCCGTTAAGGCTGCGAGCCACTTTTTTGGGCATGTTCATTTCAAAGTCTTCTGTCTGCAGTTGTGTAATTAGTTAAGTTCCTTTGTGACCCTGACATATAATGTTGATCGAAATACCACTCAACTTTTTTTTCATGTGGGATTTTCAAGTTCCATGGATGTTGATTAAAATGCATTTGTAGGTTGATTGCCTGCGAGACCATGTGACAAAATGTGGACTAGCAAAAAAGATTGAGTTGGTTATCGTTTCCCCTCTAATGAGGTATAGTTTTCCTTGACCTTCTGGCCTTCTTGTACATTTTCAGTGTTCTGAATCTTCTTCTACGCTTTTTACGTTCACTTGAACCAATCTCAGGACTCTGCAAACTGCAGTGGGGGTCTTTGGTGGTGGGAACTATACTGATGGAGTAAGCGCACCCCCATTAATGGTAGAAGGTGCAGAAAACAGTGGACGTCAGCCGATTTCAAGTTTGAACTGCCCGCCGTTTCTTGCAGCTGAGGCCTGCAGGGAGCAGTTGGTATTTCCCTATCATTTGTTACAAAATAAATAAAAAATGTCTCATCATTTAGTGCCTCGTTTATATTGGTTTGTGTTAAATATTAACTAGAATAGGCTATTTTTTGCAATAGCTAGAATAACTTGTTCATCTTTATTTTAACTTATAAGTCGAATACTCTCATTTGAGAATTTTGCATGCCCCTTTGTGTCTTTTTTTTTTCATACACGTCCCAAACTGGGAGCCGGGTTCCATTATATGCACAATGGAACAGAAGCCTCTGTTTGTGTGTGCTTCTCCCATATCAGCAATGCTCTGTTGACAAATATTCTCAATATTTGATTTTGTATTTGTTTATGAAATGCAGAGTGTTCTTACCTCTGACAAGAGGAGCAGCATAACAAGATACCGGACTCTCTTTCCTGCCATTGATTTTTCCTTGGCAAGTACCTACTGTTGCTAACTCATAAGAACAGTTCATGACACGGTGTCTCGATGGTGTTTTTAATATACGTGTGCTCACACTCTTTACAGATAGAGAATGATGAAGATGTTCTTTGGGGACCCGATATCGTAGAAGCAAATGAGTCTGTTGCTGCCAGGGGCATGAATTTCTTTGACTGGTAATTTTTCTTTATAAGATTGATTAGTTTCTTTTCATTAATGTGTTGAAAATATAAGCCTGATGGTCTACTTTTATGAGCATGAAACACAAGTACCTTGATAATATTCATCTGCACGCCCTATATCACTTTTGGTTATTTTTCTGCGTTACCCAAACAAGCAATTTATTCACCACTCTCCCCACCTGACAGGAGTCCCATGTTCCTAAAGAATCATGTTATTTGCCTCACTTTTTTTTTGAGAATCATCGTCAGGGGAAGGGTCCCCACCTGTGTATATGTATATATTACTCGAAGTGACCCAAGGGTCTTGGTGTTAGAGAGAAGTTACAAGGCCACAGAGATCTGTGAGGTGGGATAGTTGCGACTGGGCGGCCATCTTATCACTCGGTTCTTTAAACCGATGAGTCCAAAGTTCAAAGTCACTACAGATACTTCGAACAGTCGTCGACTTGCTATGATTTTTATTCCTGAAGACCGTCAAGAGGCCCATATCTTCCATAGAATTGGTAGAAGAGTCTCTGGCCAAATGCAAGTTTCAAAGGTCAGCCAACATGGAGGTAGCCCAAAGATCTTGGGGCCGAGCAGGGAGCACAATGCCTGGGCGCAGCCATATGGATGCAACCCTTAGGCAAGCAATGAACAAATGATGGGTGCCCTCTGAAGTGGCATTACATCGTGGGCAAGCTGCGGCGGCTGCAATGTGCTTATGAAAGAGGTTGTCCCCGGTGTTTAACCGACCTCTAAACTAGAGCCAAGCAAAGATCTTCGGCTTGTTTGGACAGCGGCTGCGCCAAATAAGATCTGCATGGTTACACTCATCTTCCTCATGCATACTTGTTGTGTGGTTTAGAGACAAATTGGAACTGGTGGTGAAGGATTGTGAACTGCATTTAATTTGACATTAGGAAGTTGTAGATGATGGAGATTTATGTGTAGCATGTATTGAGAAAGACAAACCTCAGATTAGGCGACCCGTTGGGTTGACCAGTAACTTTAATTTTGGTAGCTAGATTAAATTAAACTGAACTATTCGTCGGATGTGCTTGCAGGTTATGGACAAGAGAAGAGAAAGAGATAGCTGTTGTCACCCATTGTGGCTTCTTGTATCACACCCTAAACATGTATGGTAAAGAGTGTCATCCAGCCGTAGCAGAGGAACTGGGCAAGGTGTAAGTAATGCATTCATTCCCCTTGCAACTGAGCAATCAACTCAAGAGAGCACAGCATTTGCCAGATGTAACCGTTGGAACTTGAAACCATATAAAGTATAGGCAAAATGGACTAGTTTTTCTTTCCGGAAGAAGGGAAAAAAAATCTTTTGTATTCTTTGTCTTGGGATAACATGACCTGATAGAGTTACTTGTTCAGAGAACTTCTTGTCTTGCAACCTCAGTAATCTAACTAGTACTTGGTTATATGCAGCTTTGCAAACTGCGAGCTCCGGTCGATGGTGTTGGTCGACAGAAGGTCAGTCCTTTATTGCCTTAACGATTGCGTTGCAATTGACGCTTTGCTTCTTCTTTTATAATGTGGATTTTCTTTGCAACGCTGCAGTAAGCTTGGATTGGATACCTCTACATACAATTTCGCTGGGAAGATACCGGCCGGGCTTGATATGCCCAGCGATGTCGCGGAGAAGAAGCAGGCTGAAGGAGCTAGCAAGAACTGAAGACTGTCAATGATTCTTTTACCAAACCCTGTTCTGGCTGACAATGGTCAAGTTTTGAATGGCATACCTGAAATCGAAGAATAGACAATCGGATACGACTCGCCATCTGTCTCCGGAGTGTATGCTCGACATGATTCGTTATGTTTCTTATCTGATCTGATCCGTTGTCTGAACACGCACCCAAAATATTCATGGGAATAAGGATGATTTACACACGTACCGGACCTCTGTTGAGAACGAGGGCAATATATACTTGTCCTATATGCTTCGGAGACTTGGTCTGATGGAAACTTCACAGATAGACTTGGTCAGATAGATGGCAACATAGTTTTCGTCGCCTATATAGTGTTGTCATTTGGCTTATGAACCCTTGCTGTTTGACGGACATTGCTAGGTGCCATTTCATCGTCGAGATCACAAGCTATAGAGTATATAGGCCGAGCTTGTTGACGAGCTTCCAATTCCAAACAAGAAGCTGCAGCAAATGGCCGCTGCCGTGAGCTTTTCCTACCAAACAAGAGCACACTTCTTCATGCTCCTCTGCTGCTCCTCCATATGGTCTTCGCGCCTGCCTCGTGCTACCTCCTCCATTTCTTTCACCTCCAACTTCTCCCATCCCGACTACGACGCCCGGGACCTCATCTTCCAGGGCGACGCCTACTACGACTCCCGGTCTCGGACGATCCAGCTGACCCCGAGCATCGGGAACAGCGTAGGCCGTGTGTTCCTCCCAGCGCCCGTGCCGCTGTGGGATGCCGTCACCGGCGAGCTCGCCCGCTTCACCACCTCCTTCACCTTCCAAATCAAGGTGAACAACGCAAACAACACCGGTGATGGCTTGGCATTCTTCCTCGGGCATTACCCTCCGGCCGACATTCCCAAGTTGGAGCGTGAGATGAGCGGCGGGAACCTCGGCCTCTTCAACAGGAGCGTCGGCACGGTCGCGACCGGCGACGAACGAGCCGTGGCCGTTGAGTTTGACACGCACTTGAATGATGGCTTCGACCCCAGCGGCAGCCACATGGGCATTGATGTCAACTCCATCGTCTCACGGGCCTACACCAACGCCACCGTGCCTGGCAGGAACCTAACGTCCGGCCTCCCAATGACTTGCAACATCACCTACGGCAACGACACAAAAATCCTAGCAGCTCTTCTCCAGATCGGCGACACGACGTATCGCGTCAGCACGAGTGTTGACCTGAGGCAATTCTTGCCTAGTGTGGTGGCCATCGGCTTCTCCGGTGCCACTGGCATTGCGGTCGAGCTACACCAAATAGTTTCCTGGTCATTTGACTCCACCTTGGATCCGCCGCGGGAGAGCCCCGGGAGTCGCCCTCCCGCACCGAAGACGCTGCTGCTAGTAGAGATAATAACTAGACTAGTTATTGGAGTCATTGCAATTGTGTGCATCTTTGTTGGCGTCCGTCGGTGGCAGCTATTCACGAGAAAGAAGCGTTACAAAGCTCTTGCTAGGGGCCTTGTGCCTATTGGTTATCATAGGTTGGCACGTGCAACCAACGAATTTGCAGAGGAAAACAAGCTCGGGCAAGGAGGTTCTCCTTCTGTTTATGAGGGCCAACTTGGAAGTCCAAGTAGACCGGTGGCGATAAAGATATTCAAGAAAACATCATCATGCGAGGGGAGGAAGGCGTTCGAGGACGAGCTCAAGATTGCGAGTCAGCTCAGGCACCGGAACCTTGTCGAATTGATAGGTTGGTGCTGTGATGGCCAGAGGAGCCTGGTTGAGTTTATATGTTGGTGGCGGGACGACAGGTACACACGTCTCTTCCTTGTGTATGAGCTTGTGCCACAAGGTAGCCTCGATCAACACCTACACGAGGGCAAGAGTTGGTTACCGTGGTCCAAGAGGTATGCATTGTAATTCCAGCTCGACAACACTTACATCGCTTCATTCAACTCGGTTTTTCTCTTACATAACATAACACATGGTTACATGCTTTGACAAACAGGCATGAGATCATCTTCGACCTAGGCTCTGCATTGCAATATCTCCATGTAGATTGCGAGCAACACCGACAGTGTATTGTACACGGTGATATCAAGTCCAGCAACGTGTTGCTTGGGTCTTCAAATGGTGCCAAGTTAGGTGACTTTGGATTGACAAGATTTGTTCACCAAGAAACCGGGTCAAAGACCACAGACCTTGTGCAGGGCACTTGGGGTTATATAGACCCTGTGTTCCTCAACACGAGCCAGCGGAACAGGCAGTCTGACATCTACAGTTTTGGCATTGTCCTACTAGAAATGGTCTCTGGAAGGGACCCAACGACGAGTCTCGATGGTATGCCTCCGTTACCGTCATGGGTAAGGAGTTTGTACCACGATGATGCGATCCTCGAGGCTGCAAATGGCAGGTTGATAGACGGCGAGTCAAGTACTGGGCGACAACAAATGGAGCGTGTGCTACTTGTCGGGCTCTTGTGTGTGCATCAGGACCCGAGCAGCCGGCCGTCCATCACGCACGCCATGGATTCCCTGCGATCGGAGGAGCTAAAACTGGACATCACTCCCCTGGCACCGGTGACACTTTCCCTACCATAGCCTTTGTAGTCCAAAAACCACAAAGAAATACCATACATGTATTCAAGGGATACAAATTGAGCTGGGATGTATCGGGAACAGGAATCATGTACTAGAAAGTTGGATATGCGCGTCAAATGATGACCCCACACACTTGAGAAGTGGCTAGATTTCTTCATGCTAGTACAAGTGTTGTTTTTAGTTTTTATATGATTTCAATACATATTTTACCCATTTTTTATATTGATATGCTTGAGCCGGGATGTACCGGGAATAGGAATCATGTACACTAGAAAGCTGGATGTGTGCGTCAAGCCGTCAACAGGTCAACTGGTGACCCCGCACATTTGAGAAGTGGCCAGATTTCTTCGATGCTAGTACAAGTGTTGTTTTTAGTTTTTATATGATTTTTAATACATGTTTTATCCATTTTTTTAATATTGACATGCTTGTCTGAAACTATAATGATAATATCACAATAAAATAGCAACATGTATAATAACAATGCTTTACTTGACTAATTTAACTATAAACATGAATATAGTTTGCTTGTACATATATTGTGCCACCTCTTCATCTGCCAGCCCCCATATCAAACCATACAGTATAATGCATTAATCAATCAGCATAGTATTTCTGTAAAATTGAAAGAAAAAAATTAGTCACACCTTGAGTAGCATCATTTAGAAATGAATCTACCAATCATGTTGTTTTTTGCATTTACTTGGCTCATTTGCCTCTAACCATGGCTTGCTTCTACGATTCATCATTGATAATTAGACATCAAAGAAGGAACACCTCGTATATTTCTCTTTTATTTGGAGGATCTTCACACAGAAATCAAATATCAATACTGGTGATTGATGTCCTCTTTATTGACCCGCTTCATCATTGGTTGTATTGTGATCATTTAATTCTTTTAGTGGAATGCAATGCATCTAGGATTCTATGGCACGGACAACTGATTCAAGTATATTATCAAATTCTGCTTTGTATGTACCCTAATGGAGTTCTAACCGGGTTATCGATGTGGCCCTTAAATATCATATAGCCAATACAAACGACTTTTTTTTGCCAAGCCAGTATATTATGGAGGCTTTGTTATTTTGCATGAAACCACCCATGAATTATATAATAATAAGTTGGGTTGAGTAAACAATGATTCTCTTCGATTTTGATATGGAGGCTTTAATCAATTTCAAGAAAACCCACGGCAAGACGTGCTGGTCCTTTATACAACAAGCCCGGCCGGCGGGTGAAGAGTTTCTCTTCGATTTGGAGAGCCTGGGTTGATAACATTGTTTACAAAGGTGGTGTTTCCATTGAAGTAAACAATGATGTTGAACAATTGTTCAATCTAGGGAAGGGCTACATCAAGGGGATCCTTTATCACCTATTATGTTTAACTAGCACATATGCCCGTGCGTTGCAATGGGAGAAAAAATAGCATGCATATAAAATTAGTGAGAATTATATGTGCAAGCAAAACTCTGTATGCACGTGAAAAAGGAACATTTAGCTTCTCGGTTTCGCCGGGTGTGAACTGTGAAGCAATCAAGCCGCTACTTTTCCATCATTGATCGAGAGCATTTAAGAGTTTTATTACGTCATCGTATACCAGAGAAGGCCCATGAATTATTCAATCTAAATTTCCTTTCAATCGAGAAGATTTTAAGGTATGAAGTTTCTGAATTAGGAAACATTAACCATTTTTTAGATCCTGAATTTTTTTAAATTATGTATACTTTCAAGAAAACGTGAAATTTTTTGAAACAGGACAATCTTTTCAAATTCACAAACATTTTTTGAAAACACGAACTTTTTTTACAAAAGCATAAACATTATTTGAATTTGTGAACATTTTTTTAGCACAGCAACATGTGTTGAATATTCATAACATTTTTAGAAAATGTGTATCTTTTAACATTATTTTGAATTGTAGAAAAACGCAACAAAATTTGAAACATGAAAGTATTTTAAAATTCACAAGCATTTTTTGTAAACATGAATTTTTTTTATAAAAACATGAACATTATTGTAATTTGTGAAATTTTTTAGCACGGGAACATGTGTTGAAAATTCATAAGGTTTTGGAAAATGTGTACCTTTTAACATTATTTTGAATTGTGAAAAATTCACTAAAACAAGAATATTTTTCGAATTTGGAGCATTTTCGAAAATTCCATTTTCTTTTTAGAAATCTCGAACAATTTTGAAAAGTAATAAAAATTTTTGGAAAAATGGGAAACTTTTTTAAGTTCTGAATAGTTTTCAAAATAGCAACAAAAATTTGGAATTTTGGACGTTTTTTATAGAATTTTGAGTTTATGAAATAAATTCTGTAAGAAGAAAAAAATTGGAAGGGAAAAAAGAGATAGAGGAAGGAGCATAAAAATAGAAGCAAAACACAGAAACAAAGAAAAGCGGGCCAGCCCATTATCGGTTGTTCTGTACGA